TTATGCTTTACTATTATATAATTTTACGCCATACCATTGTCACTTGCTGTGTCACATAGTTTTACGTTGATATCATTGTAATCATGACGATCAGATCAGTTTAATTAAATCATATGTGTGACTTATCGCCTTCCAATACTGACTTTAACCAGCGAAAAAGATAAACTGTTGCGAAAGGTTTTACAGTCATTGTTTGAGAATAGGCCTTGATTAATGTTCAGAAAGACCGGCCTTTTAAGCCACCTTTTAAAGTTCGCCAATGTTAGTGTTGTTCTTATTTACAGAACAATCGCCAATATTATATGTCACAATTGCCCCTTATTGCGTAGGCGTAGATAAATAAATTTATACTTATAAGGTTACGTTACGTGTGACAAGTAATTATTATATCACATGTCATATAACGCAACAGCTTATATTACGCGAACGAGTTATCGAACAAAGAACAATTTTTTGCTGCCCTCTATATTCACACATTTGACACGAAAGAAAGTATCAACAACGAGTTACCACCATATATATTCTTCTCCAAGGCGTAATACAACGTATGTGAACTTAAACGTACGAACAATCAATCTTTTTCGCATCTTTGTCGCACGACAGTTTAATACAACTTACAAACTATACAACCAAACGCTTTTCTTTATTACGCGTGTCGTTTATAACATCTCCTCCTCTAAAGTGTAAGTACAGCAAACAATTACGGGTGTGTAAAGAAGCTCGTACTTTTAAGTCGACTATCGAATAAGGAAAAGTAAAACTAACTTATGTGCCTAATAGTTGTTAAAAACGTTGATCTGTCACATTTTTCCGTACCTTGCGCCGGAGACACTGTTGTTCATACTAAAGTTTTGCTATTACCAGAAGGCATAATAATTACCTTTTTAGAAGAAACTTTCGAATAAAACCATTTTTGATGAAGAGATGACACGCTCGTATCTTGAAGAACATTGGAGTAATAGGAAAGTAGGCGAACAATTTGTTTATGTAGTTATGTTTGGCATTGCGTATAGTGGATAGAGCCTTTCGGCTTAAGAATCTGTGATGTGTGGGGATTGCGATCACTCATACGTTACAAGATCAGTGGTGGTAACTTGGAGATTGCGATCATTCAAGTTCAGAGGCCATGATTGCGATCACTGGACCTGAACCACTCCACACGCATTTGCCTTTATAAGCATCTTATCTGCGATGTATGGGGATTGCGATCACTCATACCTCTCCAGAATAACTTGGTGATTGCGATCGTCAAGTGTATCAGGCATTGCTTATAGTGGATAGAGCTTTTGTAGGCTTAAGAATTTGTTATGCATGGGGATTGCGATTACTTGTGCGTTTCAGATCGGTGGTGGTAACTTGGAGATTGCGATCATTCAAGTTCAAAAGTCTGGGATTGCGATCACTGGACTTGAACCACTCCACTCGCATTTGCCTTAGGATCTGCGATGTATGGGGATTGCGATCACTCGTACGCTTCCAGATCCAGCAAAAATTGGTAGTTTGCAGTACTGCCAATTGTTGAACAGATCAGTTACTATAATTTGTATGCTTTAATATTAATGTTTGTTTTTATTTTTAACTTTCGGACAAGGATAAGACAACACGCTCAGGCTTATAAATATCAAAGAGCAGAAGACTACCATAAATTTTAGTCGGTGAGTTTATATAACTTGTATTTTTGCTTCTAATCTGATAAGCTCATTAACACTGTTCTATGCTTACGAACAATGAATGTCAAAAGGTAAACCCCACGGAAAGTCAGCGCAGGTACGAATTGTCAAAATACTAATTTCATAAACTCTATTTGTTTGGGTTACAGGAGATTAAACTGACAGCCAATGCATTAATTTATGTGAAAATGACTGTGCTATCTGTGAATAAAAAATACCTCAGAAATATAAAGGCAAATTTTATCGGCATAATAATATTATGATAAACTAGTTTAATTAAAAGACGTAAGTATACGTACGGTAAATTATTCTGAAACGCAATTAGAAGTATATAGCCATTTAAGTGGAAAGGTAATCGAATTTCTGCAAGTCCATGATAGCTTTAAGTGGTAAAGTAATTGATCGCAAGAGCAATATAGATTGTGTATATGCTTCGTGACAAAAGCGCAATTTTTTATCAAGTGAGATGCCTGACGTCAATAAATACGAGTTATTGAACTGTATTACAATTCGACCGTTGCAAATCTGAATGCGAGGATATCATATTAATACATGTTTTGCGCAGTAGTAAATGCCTCTGGTAAAAATTATTGGCAGCATAAGATTTGTATTCTTTTTGCAAGGCAAAAATTAACGACATAGATTATGCTGTGTCGTAATGCAGACTTAATTATTTATTTTTAGCAAATTAACACTTTATTATTTCTATGCTTTATAAAGTACAATCCAGCAGTTTTATATAGAGACTAGTGGGTAGCATAAGAAAAAGGGGAGCTGTAAGCAAAAGCAATTTACGTATTGTGATCAATATCACCCAACTTCGTGATTCTGTAATAAAAAAAAGTGCTTTCTCATTTTCACTATAAAGCTTTTACATAATATGTGTATCATCAATTGCGTTTAAATCAAAATTCATCAACAGTATCTGGAGTTTTCTTACTTAATAACAAAGCGGGTATTTGCATAGCGGGTAACAGAGCTTGTGATCGAGTTGTCTACGACGTTTATTCGGTTGTTTTAGGCGCTGTTTTGCTACGTGGAAGTGAAATTTTATTGCAAGCTTGACAAATAAGCCGAAGGCACAAATGACCTAAACAAATTATTAAAACTTAACAATATAGTTTTTGGACGATAAAAAAAAACAAACAACAGTCTTTGAAAAATTAAAAAGCAGAAAAGGTAAATATGGCGTATATCTTTAATATTGTCTAATTATAACTTACGAATATTATGTTTGAGAACAATGTAAGTAAAAAAAAAAAAGCTTAAGCGTCAAGACGAGAACAAAGACAAAGATTAAAACTGTATAAAAATTTTCAGAAAGCGTATTACCCAATAAAAGGTAAGACCTACAGTAATAGATAAGTAAACTGTATGAAATAATGCATTGATCGCTAGCACAATACGAATCGAAATTTGACTTTGAGAATCTGTACCTCCTAAATACGTAAATTGTAATTTGTATAATTTATGATATTGTATGTGGATTATGTCACCGTAAAAACAATTAATGTAAATTGAAAATGTACGATTCAATATTGTAGTGCATTAAACAACCTACAAGTTATCAAAGTTTTAACATATTATAAATGCACTGAAAGCAAGAAAAAAACTGTACGAGAGTTACTTAAACAGCGATATATACGAGTGGACAACGGTTAGACGCGAGTTGTGTTCTGCTTTGACTAAATCGATTGTGTTTTCGCTAGCCAATTGTACTGGGCTGTCGACTGAGCGAAGCAAGCAAGCAATGCGTTTTGGTAGGCAATTATTTAATCAACTAACATTTATGCCGCAATTTCTCAACAGCCCATTCCCACTTGGAATGTCTTAATCATTATGGGATGGGTGTCAGCCAAATTTGGGCATTTTAAAGCGGAGCAGATTTTTCGCAATTTTCCAGCCAATAAAACTGCAAATACCGGGTTACGTTCCAAATTTAGTATAAGACTTTATTACCGTTACTCTCTCCTCTTTCACTAATTTCTTTGTTTGCATAGACGTTTGTTATTTGTTTGGGACAATGAGCTGCGCCAGGAGCGTGCTAAGGCTGATTAGGGATAAAGGTAAGAACTGTGGCGAAATACGCAACATTGCATCATCTGGTCACAACTAAACTATTACTAAAACACTCTCACCGAAACCAGTTTTTCGTTGGCTAGATAGTCGGCGAAAAGATAATGGCTGCAAATCATATTCGCCAATCATACAAAATTTATATTGTCCATTATCTTTAAAAGGAAATTATGACCAAATCTGGTACCGAATCGTCAAGCCCTCCAGATTTGCTATGTAGCCGAATTTGCATATATTTGTCATTTCCCCAAATTCGATTGGCTCGAACTGGTGAGAACGCACTAAATTCCAGTCTTTCAATCAAAAAGCAGTATACGTAACTTATACGTAGCAAAACGCTTTACGGTGACCAGAAACTGCCAAGTTTGTTTTAACTTGACATGAACATGAGGCGTTTTTCTTTGTTGACAACAGAACACTGCCATGGCGTAATTTGTGTGTATATTTGTTTGGTAAGCGTATAAATATCAAAGTGCTATATAATTTTTACTTTACTCATAAAATTGTATTTCAATTGCAATTCTAGAATGCTGTTGATAATCGTTCATTCGACAGGGCAACGTTATTGACCATAGACATCGGGCTGTTTGTACCCTGAGTGATTGGATCTCAAACTTCGAACTCGCAGTCACAGCTTCTCACAGATTTGATGATACAAAGATTATAAACTCGTGCTAACACTGATGTAATCCAAGAATATTATTATATAATCACCTGATGTGTTCTGGGAATGGAAAGGCACTCAATATTATGTTTTTAGAATGGGTTTTGTAAAGAGTTAGAGTGTCCCGGGATATGTTTACACAAATTTTAATCTATAAGAATAAGATAAGATTGTTATATATTGAAACCAGCGAACAAGTAGTAAATTCTATATTGTTTGAGTCTTTATACGTAATATTTATACAATCATAATTTGTCGGCGTTATTGACATTTATGTTAATATTCAGAGAACATCAAGTTACATACTACAAAGTAAATGATGCGATATTGAGCTCAGCTCTACAAGCAATTTCCTGTGATGTAGTCAAGGTACTCGTTTAATAAACAAACGAATTTTATATGCTGACCCTTCCGGCAACATACTACTAATTAACTTTAAGTATGTTATAACTTTGATTATCGTCACCTTTATTAATAACAAGTAAAAAACTAATTATTCATTGAACGTACAATATAGCTAACTAAATATAATGCGCTGTTGACCATAAAAGTTATCATAAAACTTGGCACACGCTAGTGACAAATGTGAATCAACGACAATTTAGTTGGATCGATCTGGCTGATACGGCGTTATTTGGTAGAGATGCACCAGAATAAGCAAGTGGGTTCCCTTTACAATTATAGTCAGAGAAGAGAGTCCAGCTAGTCACGGCTGGTCCAACGGTGATATACTGAATAGGGTCAGTTTCATCGAGTCCGAAACAGCCAGAGCTTACTCCATTACCAGTTTGGTGTGTAAACTTTCCTCGAAGATCTAAAGAGAGCAGCAATATCAATTAACATGAACATTTTATATCGAATCAACATGAATATTTGTTTTGTCTGTATACACTTACAAACTGTGCAGTCTCCTCCTGGTACAGGAGTAACGCCGGTTTGGGATTGAGCGCAGCTGAGAGTGCAACTGGGAGTGCAGGTGGAAGTGCAGGTGGAAGTGCAGCTGGGAGTGTAGATGGGGAGAGTGTAGATGGGGGGAGTGTAGATGGGGGGAGTGTAGCTGGGGGGAGTGTAGCTGGAGTAGGTGGAAGTGGTGCTGCAAGAAGTAGTGGAGCTGGAAGTGGTTTCGTATCCACCGGTTGCTTCAGTGTAGCTAGTCAAGGCCAGAAATATGGCAGCAAAGATGGCAGTAAATTGGATTTTCATTTTTTCTTGGTCAATGTAAGAAAATGTAGACTCGTTGTTGGTAGCGACAAGAAGGGCCTTCTTTTATATTCGATTAAAATTTAGACGTGTTTTTCAAAATAAATTTTTCTCACCCGCAGATCAGCGATAATCGATAGAGGTACTTTAAACCATCGTCACAATACGGCCGCAGATATTTTGACAAATAAAGGGTTATACTGCGTCATTTAAAAGCAATTGTTATTTATATCTGGGAAATTATAATTAACTGACAGCCGTGGGGAAGTTACACGAAACGACCTAACGATAAAAAGAAACTGCCAAGCGAAATGCAATACATCAGCCAATCACGAGCAAGAGATAGATGTGGGGCATGCTAAAAAAAGTCGATCCTTCGTTCAGCATTACGTGTAATTGGTTTTTTAAACAAACACAACTATCTTAGGCTCGAACAGTTAATGAGTTTATGAAAAGTGACGTATTATTTTGTATAATAAGGTTTACCTTGTCTTTAGCAATGTCATTCGGGTAAAAAGATTTTTCAATGCCAATACTCAAACTAGTCCAGTTCTATTCAGAGATCTAATTGTAAATATTATGCTAATGTCATTGAAGACATTCTTACGCTCAAACGATATGTGTTCGAGGTGTGTGCGCATTGTTATGTGCTTGCGTTAAAACCTTTATTAAGAATGGTGTAACCCTACCATTTATAGGATCAGAGATCTAATTGGGACTTTTATTTATCGCTACTATTAATATTTTGCCGTTTATGGTATGACAACATTATAGCCTTACATCAGAATTATGGTTTACATACGTTAAAGCACAAAATATTGATTGATTTACAGCATTTCATGTGATTACCGAACGTATTATTAATCATTTGAAAAAGGAAACAATACATCAAAGTCTCCTCGCGTCAAAAATGTTTTGAAATTGACTTGCCCCACCAATTGCGTTGATATGAGCATTATTTCAAAAGATTAGTTTACTTTATCCGTCATTGGCATACAATCGAAATAGCATTTTCCTGTCATGCAAATAACATAAGAGAAATCGTCCTATGACGAGAGCTATTAAGATTTATGTCTAATCGAAAGAAAAGCATTATTTGGAGTAAGCCAATCGCACGACATGAGCGACTTACCGACCAAACTCTTTAATAATAACTATTACATTGATTCTTACTTTTTCTTTTTCTTTGTTGCCTATCGGTTAGTTAAATTGCAGATTATCCAGGACATAATGTTCACTCTTCTTTTGTACTAGAAATTTCTGTACTACGTAATAATTAGGAGTGATTTTTTTACATTTGTGACACATTATTGATTTCGTGAGACTTTTATAAACTATGTAACAATGTAGTTGGCCTGTGCACAAATATTTTATTTTGAGAAATAGTCTGATTGTGGAGATACATACAATCAATATACGATACGGGGTAAGTTTTTGTGTTGTCTTTATATACACAAATATACAGCATTTTTCATTGGCATATTAACGACATGTAAGAATTCACAGTTTGTTCGAAAAGCATTTGTGACGTCATATTTGTTCTGAGCCTAATAAGTTTAATTCTCGCTGTTCATACCAAATTTACTTGATGGACAATTATTGCTGCTTTTAGGAGTTGAGATTGCTCTTAACATATTTTCTGTTTACAATGATATTATTGCAACCATCACAAAACGTATCGCAACATTTTGTAAATACCGATTAAGACAAAATGTAAAAAACAAGTTTATTTACTTAACATGTTAAATTTAGCAGCAGCGGTTACAATATAATTGTGTAGTGTGTTACGAAAATCGCCCTCACGAAAAATTCAACAATGGCACAAGATATTAACAATTCAAAATGATAATAGTCAATAATTCCGACACTTTTCCCGACACTTATGGTCGTAAGCATATTCTGCATATGGAGTAACTCACACAGCGACACGACATCCGTAGATCATTTCCAGAAATTGCCTTGCGGAATCGCCGATTTTTCGCTACTATTTTTGGAAGCGAAATACGGACAATCTTTCCATGTGATTAATTTCACGTGGCTACACTTTTGAAAATTATTGTCTACGTTAAACGATGGTTGTCAAAAACTCTGTCCTCAGACACTCTAAATAATCCAACCGAGAGACAATAAATCCAACACTCACAAACGGTGCAAGATTAATGAGGAATATCTTATAACTTTAACAGAGGCAGAATTTCCTCAATTTTTACAAAGTTCAATTTGAATGCTTTGACGATGATATAATTGTCGATAACGAACGTATTGAAATTTCATGTCAAATAAAGCTCGAAATTCTTAAATCTAAAAGACATCGCTACAAAATTTCAAATTGATGTTGAAAGAGAAGATGGTTATAAATGGAAGTAAGTATTAGTAGGCGAATGCAATTTATATATTTCCGTCAATAAAATGTTAATATTATATTTATTTTAAGTATTTGGAAAAAAAATAAATCCACAAAAAAAAGAAACAAAATGTCTACGGTTTATTATCTTTGCTCGCAGAGTGAATGTCTAGCGGACTATAAACAGTCCAATCGAAAACGAATTATGCGCTTTAAATGTGAAGGCCAATTACAAATGCGCATAGACCTGCTAAACGGTTATGCATGCATTATGTTAACACATAATTATTTGCATAAACATCCAGAAAACTCACATAGCATTCCTGAAAACGTCTAGCATGGAGATACGGCAAAAATATACATTTAGAACCATTACAACCTGCGAAAATATCTTACCAAAAAATTTGACTTATCAGATATTACACCGCAACGAATTTACTATTGTTGGAGTTCAAGCACTCAGTCAGCCTATATATAAATTCGACAATGATCCAGTAAAATCAGCAATCTATCTTCTAAAACGTGTACCAAAGCCAAAATTGTAAATTATTATGGAAAAAAATACCTCAGATATTGTTGCCATTGCTTTCTCAACACCGATTCTGAAGTATGCCCAACAAATT